ATAGTGCAGTACAAACAGAGCGAAATGCCATCAGTAGCTCATGGCTCACAGCCTGCCGGGGCTCGGCTATGACACGTTGTGCCTTTAGCTGTTCTAAATGAAGACAAGAAGACACAGATGGCATCCATTTAATCCTCGCTGTGTAAGATTGTTTTTAACAAAGGCCTCTTCTCAGTGGCATCGTCTCAGACAAGAGGCAGCGATACATGACGGCGGACAATCTTCGGCTATTATCGCCACAGCGGCCCCTCATCGTTTGCGATGGCTCTCTAGTAGTTAGAATGATGGATGCGCTGCTGGTTGTAAAACAATGTTCGTGTTCAGCAGATCAGCGTGTAACGCCGGATCCTGTGGCAGGGCTCGGGCAACATGAGCAGCACACTTACGGCGGCTCGGGGGCAACGCTTTAACCAAACACTGGCGCTAAACTGCATGTGTGGTGCTCTTCACATGCGGTCACGTGGGACTGCTCCTCTATAGCATGGCTGTTCACAGAGCAGGGAACAACAAGACTCCTTCATATATGAAGCAAACAGAAGGGCTATAGGACTAATGCACAATTAAAATTCACATGCAGAGGGTGAGATCATTCGTGCAGGCTTTCAGGGAGCAGGGGTTTAGAGTGAAGAGAGCTGTCCACAGAACAAGGACGGTTACTGTATGCAGAAGAGCCATCTGTGTGTGAGCGCTTCCTATGAGCTCAAAACAAGTCTCCAGAAATTCTCCACTGCTCTGACAATTCACTCATGCTCTTATTAGCAGTTATTGAAGAGCTGGCAGGTAGCCATTTGTGTCACTTGACTAAAATCTTCTCTCATCTGAAGGGCAAAGTCATTCTGCCTGGCATCAGCTTTCCAACCACCTCCCAACCTTCCTCTTTCAGGACCATGTGAATGTTGTCGAGTTTCCCAGCAGGCAAGTCACTTTTTTGGCTTGTCCTCTCAGCCCTGCAGCTTTAGAAAATAAATGGTGACGTGCCAGGAGGGCTCCCAGAGTGCTTCCCAAACAGCACAAACGCAACCGTTTACAGGTTTCTGCCTCCTAACAGACATCACTTCCTGACCTCAAGGCCACGCTCTGCTCCTCTGCTGCTGTCAGTGTCTAGACTTGACAAACATAAGCACACAAGAGTGGAGCCATCATGTTCCCTGAAAGACCTTCACCCTGCTGTCTTTATACACACTTGAACACAGTTCCAGTTGGACAGTGAGAAAGGATCAGTCTGCTCTTATATATATTTCTTGGGTTATTAGTCTTTTATTGAATCAGTTTATTAATGTGGCTATTTCTTCATAGCAATGGTAGCAGGATTATTCTAGCAATAGCAATGTCAGTTCACTACTGTGACCCAGTTTCACACAGCTTTTCTTTGGTTCCGTCTAAAGTCAAAAAGAGCAAATATCATTAATGTGTTCATTTCAGGCACTGACGTGCGGTTCAAACCATATGTCCACAAGGGACAGCCAGGATGATAGCTTAAAAGGAGAGAAGGTAAAATGTTTTCTCAGAGACAGAACTTTACCGAGGAGGATGGACTAAAACCAAGTTTAAGAAAAGCAAGGATTATCGTGACATGTGAATCACGGAAAGCCTCTCTGGGAGAGTCCAAGAATAAAAATATGGTACAAAGTGCTGCATCAGGTTAAAATGTACCTGTTAAATATCAGAATTTGGTAAAACTGGTAATTTTGACTTCAAAATTACAGAAATAATTCTCATCTTTCAGGAACCAGTTGAATTTTCTCTCTAGCGCAAATCTCGTTTAAAGAGTGCTTGTAAAATGGGCCTGCTGCCAGGTCATAAAAAAATTCAGTTAAAGGTTTTAATAATTTCATTGCAGCGCTAAACAGTTTCATTGTAGCAAGATAAGTATTGTCCTCCAAGATGAGAGACATTAACTAAATTTTAATGCTGTGTTTCCCTTCTAAGCATGAAGAGAATCCTGTAGGGTTTTAGCAGCTTTAACTACACATCACTGGCATCCAGGTGTCATCTACAGGAAAATATCTCCTCTTTGGCACCTCTCTCTTTCTTTACAAACACGTGGAGCAGCGGCTAGTTTTGTTTCTACTCCTGGCTTTTCCACATCTTTCCACCCACCAGCATCCACACCATCTTCTTGCTCTGAAATCACTCATGATTTGTCCACTGATAGAGTTGTGGCGCTGGTCTGATGTCACTCAAAATCTCCCTCAAAGCCCATTCTAGGTAACCACGTTACAGGCAGAATACATCCTCCCTCTGCTCCCTCACCGTCCACTGCATTTCTTCCAGAAGCTGGGCTCCCGATTCAATTTTTGCATCGATCTCGTGCAAAAAGAACAGCAAAGAAATCAGATCAGAGGAGTACTAAAAGCTTTCCCTCCAAATCAATCAAAATACATGAATAAGTTATTGGTGCCTTAGTATGTTTTAGGGCATATTACCTTAGTTATGCCATTTCAAATATGAAATCAAAACTACCGTAATCTATAGCAAAACTTCACATTATTTTCATTACTGGCCATGCTGCAGCCAGTGCAAAGATAATGGCTTAATGGCTGGTTGCAAGTCTCATATATTATGCCTGATGGAAAAACTGTGTCTAAATAAATGAATGGTTTCTGATTAATAGACTCATCTTTTCTCTCTCAAATCACTGGATAGGAAAACTGCTAAGCATACATGCGTTCCTGTGTGTGACTGCGCGAGTTGTCCTGCAGTCTGTCGGTGCACAGCGGCCGACTGGCTCCAGGTCCAACTGTGGCAAGGCCCGGGCAAATTCCTCACCCGGGTGCCCGAGTACTTAGACGTGTCACGGCCAACTTTGATGGATGACTTCTTGAAGGTAAAGAGATATGCATTTTACTGCTCGAAGCCTCCGCAGCGTCGCAGAGGGGGAGTATTCACGTGTGCACACAGTCATCAACATTGTGCCACTTACAGTGTGCATCACGGCCTTTTGTTAGCCAATGCTTAGTTCACTCTTGACAGCATCTCTCATTTTGTGACAACTTCTTATCCGGCGCTGGACAGCGGACAGAATTAACTTGCAGATTAAATGTTTGTGACTAGTATTGATTTATAGATCTGAACCAAAGTGAGACGTGTGCGTGCATGCGTGTGTGTCGGTGAGGCTGTGTTCTGATGGCCTGCATTAAAAAGAGTAATAACCTCACAGATGGTGAGGGGCCGGTCCGGAGCAGGCTATGTGATGGAGAACAATCGTTGGGGCTTGATTGCTCAAGGAACACAAGGCAGACCTGACAGGGGGAGGGGTACCAGTATCTATCTATATAGATAGATAGATGTGAGTGTGTGGATGTGAAGGAGAAAACTGCTGGAGGGGGTTGTTTAAGTTTAACTAGGCCACTGCTACCCATTACATGACTGACAATGATGTGGTTTGTCGCACACACAGAGTAGATCAAATCAAATTTCATATGCTGCTCCTGGCTTTCATATATTTGATTCATCATCACCTCAAGTATGTGGAAATCATTTGTATTCGTTCACAGCAGCACATTCATTCCTCCCTGTGGAGAGATGATTCAGTATTATATGGATAGGTGCAAAAGTCAGCCAGTGTAAAAGGACAATAAATCCTACTGTCACTTATGCAAAGTGATGTAAATGGGGTCCCTGATTAAGACACAGAGTCATTTAAAAAACAGGGACTGGCAGAACCTTGACACACACACTCAGTCTCCAGCTCTCACTTTTATACATGTATGTGCGCGCATACACACACACACACACACGGTTCCATGTATCTCGAGACCTCTCTCTCTCTCTCTCACACACACACACACACACACACACACACACACACATGCTAAAATCCCCAGCCGCCCTGCGCCTGCCACCAGAGCAGTTTATCAAGTAATTATTGTTTGATTACAGCGTTTCATTATCTGCGCTGATTGAGTCACAACCGACGGCAAAGGTCAAGCGCCATTAACGCGCTGCTCCCGAAACATATTTCCGCGCCGTCCGCGTGTTTGCCCTCCCTCTCCTCTGAAAGGGCTAATTGCAAATGCATTTGTTTGAGGAAGAGGAGAGGAGAACACCCGCTCCAATCTCCCCCAAGTCCCAGTGAGACGGAATTATCAATGCTGTCCATAGTGTTCGTACAGCGACACACACACACACACACACACACACACACACACACACACACACACACACACACACACACACACACACACACACACACACACACACACACACACGGACGTACCAGCAGAGACACATGGGAGCTTTTTGGAAACGTACGCAATCAGACTTAACAACTGATACCAATCAAACACACATCCAACAGCTTTCATTAAACCGTTTTGGACAATAAGCGCGTGATTGGCTACTTATAATTTTACATATTAATAACGAGTCTTTAAGGCGCATATCTGAGCAGCATAATCGTTGCATTTATCGAAATGTAAGAACTTAAACCTCAGGATTCGCTCTTTTAGCACTTTTCTTTTTTGCTTGTGAAGTTTGGAATTTTTTCAGATACACTGAAGGATAAATCGATACCTCTTTATTTTGATAATTTTTCTTTTAAATTACAAACAAACCAGGTAAAACCTCTAAGAGATTTTGTAGCACATTAGAAAAAGATATTTTGGGGGGTTCCACAGTCTAGTAAGCTTTTACTTCGTCTGTTTATTTATAACCAGTTCTTTGAGTCCTGATTTTTTTCAAGAAGCTTTGAATAATAATGAGATAAGAATTTTCTCACAAAGTGAAAGTTAGATCGAAATAACTTCCTCTGTGCTGCTGACGAACCAAGGGCTGTTTTCTTGTCAATTCTCAACAGGTCATTTTGACCCAGTTACAATTATAGTGGCATTTAATTTCAGTTTTTGGTTAGCGTCCAGGGTTTACCATACATTCACAAACTGTCAATGAGCTGGATAAAGAGCCACATAACCTGTGTGGCTCTACACGGGTAGATCTCTGTACTGTAAACATAAATGCATCAAACAAACCATTGTGTAATACATGTAATGGCTCCATACCTTGGCGGGAAACCGATCTCTTGTTCATGCAGACGTTCTTTGAACACTGACAGCTCTTTATCAAACTCTAAAAGCTGTGGAAAGCAAAACAAAAAGACAGAGGCGTCAATAAAACAACTACATATACCATTTCAGTTATTTTCTCACTGATGGGGTATTAATCAAAAAGCTGCTCTCAAAAATATATTCTTATCTCAAAAACTGACCAGATCAAAGTTTATATTAAAATATGGATCCAACAAACAGACACATGATAAGACATCATGCATGTCTTTGGACTGACTTTAATTTGATTTCTGATAATGACTGAACCCTACTACTGTTGAAGGAAAGTATGGGGGTATCTTCCTGTTAAAAGGGAGTTTTTTCTCCCCACTTTTTCCAAGTGCTTGCTCATACAGGGTCATCTAATTGTGGGAGTTTTGACTTTACCTCTTTTCCTTATAAGAAAAAAGCACCTTGAGGTGGCTGTTGTGATTCTGTGCTATATAAATAAAACTGAACTGAACTGAACTGAATAAGCCAGAGGGGAGACGTGGACAAGGTAGCAGATCATATTCAAATCATATTAAAAATGCAACAAAGTCTTTGTCAAATGCAAGATTTACATGATATACAATGTACAAAAAAGCAAGTCTCTCAAGAAAACCAACACAAGGTGATAAAGACGGAGAATGAGGCTCACATCTTTGGCCTTATTCAATGAAGTCCACATACCCCATGCTGGCAGGTATCGACAGCAGCTGACCAGTGTGTGTGTGTGTGTGTGTGTCACTAGCTCTTTCCTACAGGGGTGGGGGGGTATAACTTTCCACACTGACAGTGCATCCACACACTCTTCATCAATCATGTCTCCTCACCCAGCTGTACTCACTCACTAGAGTGTACACACACACTTCCCCCAATTTCCCCCCTTTCACAAAACCCATAAATCATTAGTGAAAAGTGCAATTAGCGGCTCCTTGTACACATTAATTATCTGCGAGATGAACAGGTAGCTAGGGCACCTGCATGACTGCCTTCCTGAGAGACTGACAGCGACGTTTCCCAGCAACACCCTCCCGGAGGACCGCTCGCAGGTCCCGCCCTTTCCTTTCAAACAGGAAGACGTGCAGACGGAGGCGAGTCGTGTTTGTTTAGTAGTAAATTAGGCTATTGTACACGTTTCAAACACCATGCTACAATGATGGCCCGATGAAGACATCACCCGCAATAGTATGAGTGTGACAGCTTAACATTAATGACATTACGTCGGTGTATTACATGCAGCAATATGTTGATGGCTACACGATGAAATATCCAAATATTACCCATGAGCACCACGTCATCGCTGTTATTTGGAAGGACGTCCTCGCAAAGTGGAGACGGTGTCATGTCGGCGTTATGATATTAGAAGAAGGTAACTGCTGTTCTCCGTGTGCGCTGACATATTTATACATACGTGTATAACCGTCTAAGCGTTGTCTTCACATCAACGCTGAGTACGCAATTACACAAAAAATAAATAAATAAGCCCGTCGGTGTGTTCCTTCACGATGATGCTCTGCAGTGTTTGTGTGATTACGTGTCAGTGGTGTAGAACAGTGGCCATTACTTGAGGCAGAGGGGGCCTCGCAGACAGAGTCTCAGCGGTTCAGGAGGGCAGATGTGCTGCATTCATCAAACTCACACTGCCGGGGTCACAGGAGAGACTCACACACTGTGGATGAGGGATGGCAGAGCAGGGGATGCAACCCCACGCTCCACTGTACACAACCATCTCACCATCCAGCCACTGATGGCTTCTTTCAGTGCTGTTTTTTTCACATCTGACCAATACGGGGCTCTTCAGGCTGATCGAAAGCATTACTACTAATTGAGAGATTAAAAAAGATGTTGTAAAGATAAGTGAACCAATGTATATTTAGCATTACATTCTCATACTGGTGTAACAGAGAGCGTTGGAATACTCAATCACTGTTTTGAAGCCTCTGTATGAGTGTTATATAAGGTGGGTATAAGCCTCCAATGAATTTAGTGTCACAGGCTGGGTCTCCGACCCAGCACTCTGAGTTTTCTTTGTATTTTTTGATATGTTATTAGTTTGTGTTATTTCCTATTTTGCCTTTAGTTTAGGCAGTTATTGGTTATTGTTCCTGGGTTTTCTATGTTTTGGGGTTTGGTATTTATTCATCACGTGTTGGGTCTGTTGAGTTGTGTTGTCATGTTTAGTTGTTAGTATTTCCTGTTTTATTTTGACAATGTCATGTGTTCTTTGTTCATTGTATTTAGCTTTCTCTCCTGGTCCTGTCATTAGGTTTATGTCTGTCAGCTGTTTCCCCCATGTGTCTCCACCTCCCCTGATCACCTCATGTCTGTATTTAAGCCTTTTGTTTTCTTCATGCCATTGTCGGTTCGTCTGTTTATCTCACCAGGGTCACAGTTTTAGTCATGGTCTTAGCCTGTTTACCTCACCTCACCTCAGTCATAGTTCTAGTTTTCATCTGTTATGTATTATTAGTCTTAGTCATGGTCTTTGTTTATTATTTTTCCACCACAGTCATAGTTTAGGTTTTGGTCTCAGTACCATTTAGTATTTTGTTTCTTAGTGTTTTGCCTGTTTGTTTTTGGTCTCTTGGTTCATTTCCCTGCCGTCATCGCATTAAAGGTTCACCTTTCTGTTAATCATTACAATTCCTCCTCATCATCTGCTTTTGGGTCCTGTTTCCACACACATTGGCGCACCCCGCCGTGACATTTAGCACATCTTGTATCAGTCAACAGTTTTCCTCAGTCCCTCTGGTATTTGTTTCAGTGTCTTCCCTCAAAGTTTAGAGTAGAATAACTCTGTAGCGTTAAACTAGCGTTTAGACGCTAATATTTATTAGAATTGATCTCTATTGACAACATAGTTATATATATAGTGCCAAATAACAACAACAGTCACCTCAAGGTGCTTTATATTATAAGACAAACATCCAACAGAAAGAAAACCCAAATAATCAGACGACTGCGGGAAGGAAAAACTCCCTTTTAGCAGGAAGAAACCTTCTGCAGAACCAGGCTCAGGGAGGGGCAGCCATCTGCTGCGACCGGTTAGGGGTGAGGGTGTCTGTTTCCTGAATCCAAACTGGAAGCTGGTTCCAGGGAAGAGAAACTTGGAAGTTAAAGGCTCTCTCTGCCCTTTTACTGTCCTAAGCCCAACAAGTAAGTCAGCAGTCTGAGAGTGAAGTGCTCTATTGGGATGATACGTTATTATAAGGTTTTTAAGACAAGGCGGGGCCTGATTATTCAAGACCTTGTATGTGAACTGTGAATGTGTGACTGAAGAGGCACATTATTCAAAAGAAAAAAAAAGAAAATATGCACACAACATATATCCCATATTTTTTCCCTTTAAGGCTATTTTGCTTCCTCTGTTAAACATCTTGATGTATTTCAGAAAGTTTTGTGTATCGCTGTTATTGCAGGAAACATATAGTGACAGTATTGTGAGTTATAGTGCGAAGTATCTGTGCATTCACAGGTGTGATAATGTTTGAGGTAAAGCAGCTCAGACTGATAGAGTGTGACAGTTTAAATAACAGGGGATAAGCAACATATGGCTGTGTGTATTCAAGTAGTGTGTGTGTGTTCGTGTGCCTTAAGTGAATGTTGAGTAATTCACCCAGGTGAATGGAAAACCCTGCAGTCACAAATTTCACACTACATTTCATCCCGGGTCAATTAAGCAGAATGCTCTGGTGCTGTGTTAGGTCAGTGCTTTAAAAAAAGAAGCAGAAGAAGAAGAAGAAGAAAGCATCTGATATCAGTTCAAGGCCTCGTGACATTATAAAGCCAGCAGGAGTTTGTAAACCAGAAATGACCTTGTGGGAGTTGTGGAGGAGGTGGCGTGAGATGATGCCACTCTGGCAATGCTAAGGAGGGGGAAAAGATGAAGAAGTGTCCGGATAAAAACTACCTTGTCATGGGCTCAAATTTCTGACTGTGCTTGGATAATCGCCGCGCTCTTAAATCAGACTGGCGTTGATAGCTAAGAGGCAGGAAGCCGAGAGGGGTACAAAGAGGGCGAAAGGGCATCTTGGGCCTCCGAGTGTTCCTCTCAGCATGCTGCCCGCTCATCCACCAACTGTAATTGTGCTTTGATTTACGCATCGTCAAATATCCCCCGTGACAACACCTGCTGCTGTTAAAACTCATCAATAAATGTTGGGGTGAAAGGTCATTTAATTTGATTTTTACACCTCACACTTGGCTTTCATTGCAGGGGCTGTATTTTCCCCGCTTTTTTTATGGGATCTTCATTATTTTGTGCAGAAAACCGATAAACCGTCAGCGACGCCGGCCGGGGATGGCTGATTGGGAGCTGAGATGGGCCGACCAAGGCTGGATTTAACTTCACAATTATTCTGATAAAATAAAATAAAAAAATAAAAAACGTAAAAAAATTCAACGGCAGCTTGGGCCCACTGTCTCTTAGAGCCATATATTCTGATAAGCCTAAGTAAGCCGTCAATACTTTCCTAAAGCGTTCAGAAGAAAGGCGAGTTAAATTAAAAGAAATACTCATTGTAGCATCAATTTATATAAAGGTCAGATTTCATTTAGCATGGCTTCTGTATTGCCACTTAAGTGCTCTGACAGGTGAAATATGAAAGAACTTCGGGCTGAGGCAGCATTTGTTCTTTAGGGGGTTTTTTTTATGTCCCTCTCATGTTTAAAATGTCTCCGGGCTTTTGAGTAATGCTGAAGACTACGCTGCCAGCATGACAAGGAGAGGCACGCCAGACAGAAAGGTTCATCACTTGCTAAAGCTAGTACACAAACGCACCCTCCTCCCCTCTCCTGGTCCCCCCCCAATCTGCCGACACACGCTGATAAAGTTACAATAAAGAGATACTGAAACAAAATCAATGGGAGTGGAGGAGGGAGACTTGCCCTGTGTGTGTTTGTGCGTGTCTTCCAGGAAAGGCAGAAACTGCACGAGTGTGCACCATGGATGCTTGCACAGCCTCACAAACACACACACCACGCTCCTCCCATCTTTCCACCGGAGCAAGGCCCCATGGTGCCCCTTGACGCCATGAGCGCCCAGAAAATTTAATCTTCCCAAATACTCATCAGGGCTCTCCATCGTCCTGCCGTGACAGCGCCGGGGATAATTAATTATACAATTTCGATGGGAATATCGACTAAACAAACCTATTAATCATAGCAAAAGTCAATAGGCATGGACACATTCAATCATGTCCCGGCCAATGATTACTCCTCTCAAAATACAATAATTATTTTCAAGAGCTGCCTCGAATTAAATTTCTGTCAAGCTGGTACAAGTCTTGCAGTTGATGAAGGATGCAATGGATTTTTTTTCTTTCCCCCCCTTCCCCAGTGGAGGAGTGTAAGGAGGGACATTTATCCTTTTGGAAAGGTAGTTTGTTTTATAAGGATCATAACACGGTGTGTTTAACTAGACCATGACCATCAGATTATCTCTGATGCCCCCATTATGTCATCCATCTTGTCTGGCTTGGTGAGGAGGCAGAGAGAGAGGGAGGAAGGGAGAAGGAAATGAAGGTGAAGGGAGGGTGGGGTACCTCAGCCTCCCCACAGCTACTGTTTCGCAGTTAGGGGACATTTCTGCTGGTCAGATTCAATCATGCTTTACTGGACAGCATGCAATCAGACATCCACATCGACTTTCCTTACTGAAGACTCGCAGTCTTCTACATTTTACCTTATAAGCAAGAATGTTTATTTTCTAGTTTCTGGATTATTTGGCTACCTTAATATGCATTTACAGTAAAAACGCTTAAAATAAGTCCATAATAGGATATACTGTATCTCAGCAGTTGAAGAAGAAAGAAGAAAAACAGAAGGACACGTGTTTTGGAGGCACTGAGCTTGCTTGAAGCCAAACAAATGTCACATAAAAGATAATGCTGAACTCAGTAAATTTTGGAAGTTAAGGAAAGTAACTGAAAATACTTTTTTTCCCCACAATTCCAATTCCAAAATATGCCAGCTTACTTTGAACCATCTGTTTGGCTGCGTTAGGCCACTCTAAACAATTGAAAATATTCAGTGGCTTCATTTAATTTATTGACACGCAAACACGGCTAATGGAAAATCAAGTGGGCGCTTTTTTTCAGCTCAGTGAGATGCACGTCACGTGACTTATAAACGCACAGAGCAGGAAAATCAACATTATCATGCGGCATATGAATAAACCCCGGACGGCCCAAGAAAATCAATATAATTACATGGATTTAAAATATATATATATTTCTCAATGTGACAAGAGACATGTGCAAAATCATGCAACTTCACTTAAAAAGGCATGAATTGAATTAGCAGTAATAACGAGCTCACATTAAACCACACTGTCCTTGTGATACAAACCCAGTGCAAGTTCATAAATGATAACGCTGATTTATTACCCAAAACTTTAACTTAACAAGGTTAATAAACTCTGCCGCTTCACTGCCAATTCTGCTGTGTGTGTGTGTGTGTTTGTCATTCATGTTTTTTAACAAGGTCCAACTTTGAACTACTTAATGTAATATACAACCATATAAAAGTGGAAGTGCGTTCCTCTGCTGTTTTTCTTCTGCAGACGCTGAACACGTCTCGTCTGCACTGAGTGCTGCTTAAAAGTTATTCCCTACATTTGGCCTCTTGACTGGGGAAAAAGAGTGTTTGTTTGTTAGGTATGTGAGGGCATCTGCACCACTCAGGTCAGCAGCTGCAACCTAATTATTTTAACCTTTCTGTGCTACTGTGCAGACATGAGGAGTCATTTTGAACTTGTTCTTTTGCTTTGTTGATTTCACAGTCAGTCAGTGGCGGTCATTACACAGTGAAAAATGAATGTATATGACAGTTGATCAAGGAAATTAAACTCGTAATAGATAAGATGAGAGGTGAGAAAGTAGATGATTATATAAAAGTTAAAGGAGTGACTTACTGAGGTCCCATTGTCTTCCCGGAATACTTCCTGGTTGACATAATTAAAAAGCTTCTTTTCAATTTGAAGAATAACCTGAATCAGTGGAAAGAGAGAAATTGCACTCTGATTAATAGCAATACTAATGTGAACTTCACTCAGTAATTAGAGAACTAATGAACAGCATTGAGCTGCAGCAGCAGACAGCACTGTTATCTCTACACGTGTCTCATCGAGGCTTTACACTGACCTTGGCACCTCGGGGTCAGGTGTATCAAAGCAGAAAATAAGCAGTATTTGAAGTTTCATTACACAGGTCAAAACCTACAATTTTTTACATTAAATATGGTATTCGAATATTGTCATTTACTTACTAACAAAAGGGTTAGACCTATATTAATACCTTAATATCAGTAGGATAAAAGCAATGAAGTTTGACACACTGACCAACAGTGAGCAGTCTCACAGTCTTGACCTTTAAAACAGCAAACACTGTAATGTGTTGGCTATGATTACATTTAATCCTTAACTTATACCTGCTTCCAACGGTAGACTGTATATAAATGATGGACACGGTGACGTTGACATCTCCTGAACTGAATATTTAGGCCCTTAACAACTTGGTGTTTTAGAACTGGATCACGAGGTAGGCTCGCCCTAAACCATAACCTGCTATGAAATAATGAACATCATGTCATACCAGTAAGACTTTAAACTAAAGAATGAGACCATAAACTCATCAGGACAGTGTCTACGTAGTTCATCGACAGAGTTTCATACAATCTGACTTTGTGCAAACAGAGGTGTCGCCCCCTGTGGGTGGAAGGATTGGACCAGCCTACATTGGGTTAGTCCAGGGGTGGGCAATCTCAGTCCACGAGGGCCGATGTCCCTGCAGGTTTTAGATCTCACCTTGGGTCAACACTCCTGAATCACATGATTAGTTCGTTACCAGGCCTCTGGAGAACTTCAGGACATGTTGAGGAGCTAATTTAGCCATTTAAATCAGCTGTGTTGGTTCGAGGACACATCTAAAACCTGCAGGGACACCGGCCCTCGTGGACTGAGATTGCCCACCCCTGGGTTAGTCAGTGAATACACAGTCCCACAAAAGGACTGTATTTGTTTTTTTGTTTGGGTTTTTTTTTTTTGTAAGCGTTGATGAAATGATGCTTCAAAGCAGAAGAACTCACCTTTCGGTCATTATCAGTTTCTTGAAATACTAGCTTGTGAATTTCATTGTTGTCGGTTCTGATTGTCTGCATGGTGGCATCAGAGCAGAGTTTCTGGACATAAGAAAGCAACAGGATAGAGGATTATTGGAATGTTTATTCATTTGATGTCACTAACATGCAAACCATCTATGATATAATTTCTAGTTTACAGTTACTGGCACGTTAACATATACAGCATACACTAGTTTCTCAGTATACCTCAACACCATTCGTTAAACACTGTGGTGTATTTGAATGACTTATAAAGAGCCAACCCACAAACAGCCACCTCACTGTCCCCTCTCTTTATCTGGGTCTATGTACTGACCCCATGGACTGTGTGCATGGTTAAATTCTTCTTTGTGGACTCTCTTAACAATTAGTTAAACATTCGGCCATCTGTGTTTGAAGACAGTTGAATGAGGAAATCCCTTAGCCAGTGGTTCCCATACCACACAGCAGAGAGCCAGTGACCTGATTCAAATTCAAAGCACAGATCTGATAATCGGGTCAAGCCAATATAGCGAGCAGAAAAAGGCCCTTTAGACCGAAATGTCACAAATCAGTCCTGCTTCGGCCATGAAGAAATGGCACACCAGATTAGAACAAACACCATGCCCTGAGAGAAAGTGGAACAACTCCTCGAACCCCCCTTCCACCGCCTCAGCCCCATTCCTTCATGCTTACCCCCACTCCCCCAAAAGCAACTTTCTAAAGCCCTAACAAATCGCTCCATCTTTCACTCATTTAGGCCTTCCAAATGCAGGGTCAATATGGTCCCCTGGCAGCCAAATGCTAATGCGCTTAAGTGTGCTTAAGCAGCTTTGTGCAATGAATAGGCCAAAGAAGGAGCTAGTGAGAAGGGCAAGAGATACTTTCCCTGTCAAAAAGTCATTGTAGCCACAGCTAGCAAAGACAATTGAAGAAGGTCATTTGGGGGTGTTTGATTACTGCTAAATGTAACAGTACTGTAATATAATACATAACTGATTTAAAAAAATAATAATTTTAAGATATCATCAGCAAAAACTCTTAGAAATCTTCAAGAAGATTGTGAGATGTGGTGAATTTTGCATTTTTTTAAAAATTAGGGCTATTAAAAGCACCCTAACGTTTTTTGGGTTTCTACAAACATCGGACTCCAGTAATTCTTCCAAGTGGGTGCCCTTCTGTCGCCTTGCTTTGCAAATCCAAAAATCAGTCAAGCAGAAATCCCTGGCCACTTCACAGTTACAACTGAAGCCAGAAGCTTACACTGCTCGCTGGCACAATAAGCATCAATATTTAAAGGACAGAAATAGCCACTCCATTCATGTTCAAATGATTTCAATAATCCGTTAAGCGATACTTGAGTCAGTTAAATGTATGTAGATATGGACAGACAGAAGATGATACATATAGGTTTCAGCTAGGAGAAGAACAGAATGATGTAATTCTCAGTGAGATAACTGAGGTTTTGTATTCTTGTAGGTCTATATTGTGTGCCAAGAGTGTCACTGCTGGGAGGGTTCAATTAGAAAAAAAAGACAATTAGCTAATGCTTTTTCTGGTGGGAAAAAATGTCTTTTCCCAGAATGATTACACTTTAGCTACCTGAAGAAAGGAAACCACTTTAACTTAAAGCAAACAAATGATTCCAGATGCAGACTCTGTGTTTAGCCCGTTGGAAAAATAACAGGTATTTTACACAAATAGCAACCGGTGCAGACGGACCTTAAGGTATCCCAGCTCTGGACATCTGTGCATGTTAACAATCGATCCATTCCTATGTTTAACGACTGAGTAATCATTGCCGTTGGTGGTGGTTGATTGCACTGGATTGATCACAGCTCCCCTACTGTCATCTTCTGCGTCAAACATCCCACTCATTTAAGACGCGCCCGCTCATCCCAGTGGCTCTGTCATAAGATCCGCACACCAGACACTGAGGATGTCTGGGGGAAAATGAGAAGCCCATGCTGTCACTTAAGGCTATATCAGTGTGGTGCTGTGTCTTTCCCGCTGCCAACAGAGCCCAGGTGCTTGGGCAGAATCTTTGAACAGATATCTCCCTTCAAAGCCGCAGCTTCCTAAGCACATTAAATGTAGAAACTGCCTCACTGACCATCCTAAATGACATTACCATAATTCTGCAATTGGCTTCTCATTTGATATATGCCAATTAGTCTGTGGGAAGAAGAAGAAGTCTGGCAAAGGGAAAATATTAACAGACAGCTGTCAGCGTACAACGCTGTAGTCCAAAGGACAGTGTGGATGTCTTCACTGCTGTGGCCTCTTTAACAGATCCTGCAAAGTGACTTGGCATTGCGTCTCTGCATTATGGGTCACAGGTCAGCACTGTGTGTTTGTCCAGGGCCAGAGGGGCCGGGTGGGGTTGGGGGGCTGGGATGAGAGGCGGAGGAAGGTGCTGGCTTTGTGCATCAATGGAGGATAATCTCATGACTGTCGAAGGAGGAAGCGGCTGCTTAAAGGAGCTCTCTATTCCAGCTGCTCTCCTTAGAAGAGAGGTTAAAGCAATCTGTCCCACTTCAAAGACCGAGGACGCGCACACACACACACACACACACACACACACACACACACACACACACACACACACACACACACACCACACACACACACACACACACACACACACACACACACACACACACAAACTAGCATTCAAGCCTTCTGTGTTTGGTGCTGCCAACAGATGGACATGATCCACCGTTCCCAGCTTAAACACTAAGAAACCCTCTCAGGGCAGCATAGCAGTCTCGACAATGTGCAAAGGTTTGTTTCACAAGTCAACATTTAGAAGAGGAAAAAGGCTAATGGGACGCACAAACAGAAGGGAGCATTCAATGAAAATCACACCGCTCAGGTTTAAAAGACGAACAAGATTTCAGATATTAAATACAATAAAAGTATCTCTTGATTTTTTTAACATTAACTAACCTTTATGTTTTACCTTTTTATTGCTCAAAACAAAATAAATGAAAGGCAACGCTGGAAAATTAATTTCATATTCAAGGCATGTAGTTTATTATATGCTTTTATTTCATGTAAACTGCATGTCCCAACCTATGTGATGGACACCACCCCCCCTCCCACAGAAGCCCAGTGATTATTAAAGAAAGTATGAGAGCGTGTGCAGAAAGAGACAAGAGGATGAGTGGACAATGAGCTAAGTATTCATTCTTCATTACTAGAGGCAGGGGACGGGGGCTCCCCTCTGTGTCAGCAGGAGCACTGGCATTGTCAGAATGCACCATTATTTTCTAGCTGCCACGCAAAGCCAAGCTGCCAGCTGAGTTAAGGTGTGCCAGCCGGGGTGGCAGGTTCAGCGCGAATTGCTCGGCACTCCGATCGCTTTTATTCCACTCGCCGTCGTTCATCACGCTCATCCTGCGCACGCGATTGCGACATCTGCACGAACGAGGGGAGAAGGTGGCATCCAAAGTAGCAGACAACAAATTCGGCCATGCTTTCCTGCCAGCTATTACACAGGAGAGCCAGTAAATCAGCTGTGACCCCTCCCCACCTCATCTGACTGGACACAAGCCAGAGTTATCCACTCCGCTCTCCCTGTGACTGGCTAATTTAATGTCTCCAAACACAGTGGATTCATCACTGACACACACACACACACATATATACAGTGGTAAGGGGATTCAGCGTGAACGCAAAGTTAGTCTGTGTGACCCACTTGGTCGGCGGCTGACCCCAGTAAACCTGGCCTGTGTCCTCCCCTGACACCAAGTGAGACACACAGAACTCTCACTCCTTTCCATGAACTCAGTGAGCAGCGGTGAGAGCTGATGTTGATGGCCAATGGCAGTGTGCGCGTTGTAGGAGGTCCTCTAACCTGCCACGCCCTTGCTAAAAAAGAAAAAGAAAAAAAAGAGCTTGGTAAGAGGTAAGAGGGCGTGCGAGGTAGTGATAATGTGCCCTATTTATCTTGTGCATTATAACATCTGGGAAACTTCTCTAAAAACAATGGCACAATGAGGGCTGCCATTCTGGCTTTACCTTCAGAAACCCACCAAAAGCATTTGTCCCCCTGGAATTGATAATGGACAGGCCACAAATCATTCGGGACAACAGGACGGAGGGTTGTGTGAGAGAGAAACTCAATGTATGTGTATGTTTTGTGTGTGTGTGTGTGTGTGTGTGTGTGTGTGTGTGTGTGTGTGTGTGTGTGTGTGTTCACCCCTGGTATTTAACTTCTCTGCTGGCCCATTCTGCAGGGCCCCGCAGGACAAATTGCCCTGCATGGTTGTCTTTGAGAGGCAGTGCAGCGCGCAGAGAAAGGGACAGGGCTGAAACACAAGGAACAGGCCTATAAAAATTCATCACTTTGACCCCTGTGACCTCCAACTACTGGGTTGTTTTTTTTTTTCCTCTTTTTACTCACGCATACACACACAGATGCACGAGCACGCACTTGGCCACCCACCCAAGCTTGGAGCTGAGGGGAGTTATTCAGAAATCATCTATTCGAGTTAAGTTTTTAAAGAGAAACGGACAGTTGCTGCGACAAGTCGGCTCGAGCTGTAGAAACGCACTAAGCCTCGTGATCTCTCTGTCTCTTTCTCTTGCACATGCACACTTGCTGCTGACACAATAGCCGCAGAAAAGCTTTCTACACAGGAAAAGGCCACCAGATGCTTCATTGTGACTGTGTCTCTGTGTAAAGTAGTGGCAGTAAAAGGAGGCTGGGCTCTCCAGAGCCATATTAGTCCCAGTAAGAGGAGGGCATTGTCTCAGGCCCGGACTCTTGACACATTACTGCCACCTGTACAAAGAAAACCTAATGAGAGATTTAATCTGAGAAACCTCCCCTGCCACTTTTAGTCAGCACTTTGAAACCAACCGCGGCAGATGTCTGCAAGACTGTTTAACGTACCGGCTTCTCTTAACCTCTCAATAAAGCCGTGCATGCTTAAATTGCTCAATAGCCATTCATTTGAATGTTAGCTGCACTTATTACAATTCCTCCCAAAAAAAGGGAGCTTTGTGATGTGAAGGAGTAGCCGGCAGCGCCACGGCCATTCACGACTTCTTCTTAACACCTCGGACCTAAAGAC